GAGGATAGACTCGAGCACGGTTGGACTCGTTTGCCTTAGAGAGATGCTTGCACATATCTTCTATCACAGTGCCAGTGAAATCAGTATGTGGATGTAGATTTGGTGGTGGAAAAATGAGGTAGGCCTTAACAGACCACATATATGATTTCAATGACATATGACCATGGTCCAGTGTTTGTAATGGGGCTCAGCCCACTGCCATTAAGTCAATTCTAATCCATGGCAACCTTCTAGGGCACAGTAGACCTGCCCCCGTGAGTTTCTGAGGTGTAACTCTTCATTGGAGTAGAAATTCTCATCTCTCTCCTGAGGAGGGCCTAGTAGTTTTGAGCTTCTGACTTTGTGGTTAGCAGCAGAGGATGTAAAAGTCTCAGGAAAGAAGAGAAGCTATGAGATAGTCATTTAGAAGCAAGGCTTTGACCTAGTTCTTCCTGGTTTAGTCGTGGCCAATGAAGCTAAGCCTGTAAGAACCATAGTTTTCAAAATATGAGTGCCTGGAACAATAACTGTAACAGGGAAAATTATTAATCAGTGCCCTACCAGAAACTTAACCTCCCTCTTAGAAAAAAAAAAAGGTAGCATCTGTGTTGCATAGCAACTAAATCTCTGACCTGGTAGAGCTGGGAACAATGATGCCCTACTCAAAGATTGCTGGAGACCATGCTTCTTTGAATTTTTGGTCTTCATAGTCTTGTCAATGATAGAATCCTTCCCATCAGGGTCCTGAAAGGACTCACTACGCATCTTTTCAGTTACCCATTACAGGACTTTGAGCCCCAACTTTCCCACTCAAGTTATTGTTCCTGTCACCTACAATTTGCCAATGCCAATTCTTCCTGGTTTCAATTCATCAGCCATGTCTGAACTGAGAAGAACTGGTTTGAAGTCCTGTTGCTGTTTATGTTAGGCGCCCTTAAGTCAGTTTTGACTCACAGTGACCCCGGACACTGCTGAACAAAACACTGCCTCACGATTTTCATGCTTGAGGTCATTGTTGCAACCACCGTGTCAATCCCTCTCCTTGAAGGTCTTCCTCTTTGTTGTTGACCTTATACTTTTCATAGCTCTGTGTTCTTCTCCAGGGATGACTTGAATTCTTGCCATCCTTGCCTCCAAAGGGTTTTCTGGCTGTTCTTTCTTTCCTTTTTTCTGTACTTTCAAGACAGATTTGCTTGTTCATGGTATAGTCAATATTCTTTGACAGCACTATAATTGAAATTCTCCTATTCTCCAATTTTCCTTATTCATTGTCCAACTTTCACATGCATGAGAGAATCAAAAATACCATGGCTTGCGTCAGGTGCACCATAAACTGAAAAAAACCTCACTGTCATCTAAGGGATGCTGACTAAGCAATACTGTAGTCCTCAAAAATATCACAAAGCTAAAAAAGCAAAACAAAACAAAAAACCCTATTGCAATGACTTAGCCAAAAGCTTGACTAAGTCATTGCAATAGGGTTTTTTGTTTTGTTTTGCTTTTGACTAAGTCATTAAAGGATTGTTTGAGTAGCTTGTTCCACAGGGTATACATAAATGGGCTTAACATGAGGGAAATGGAAGTACCTATATACTCAAGTATAAGCCGACTCGAATATCAGCCTAGGCACCTAATTTTACTACCAAAAAAATGCATTAAAAATGTGCTGAAAAACTCGACTTCTACATGCGTATATACGGTAGTCAAAATTGTTATCCTCTTATTAATGTCTTCTTTGGCTTAAGTTTTGATACAGGTAAAGATTCAGCTGCCACGTGGCTGTTGTTAGATGCCCTGGAGTCGATTCTGACTCACAGATACCCTATGTACAACAGAACAAAATAGCACCTGGCCTTGCTCATCTGTCCTCCTCACAATGATTAAGTTTGAGCCCATTGTTGCAAGCTGCTGTAACAATCCATCTTTTTTGTCACCCCTTCCTCTTTTTTGTCACCCCTCTACTTTACCAAGCAGGATGCCTTCTCTAAGGACATGTGATGGTCTCTCCTTGTAATATATCCAAAGTACTTGAGATGAAGTCTTGCCATTGTTGTCTCTAAGGAGCACTCTGGCTGTACATCTTCCAAGATAAAAATCACACCCTTTAGAATCATGATACCGACCATGACAGAGCAGTCAAGGACCACTTCTTATATGTTCCCTGCATGTGTGCATGTGATTGTCAGCAGAGGATCAGCATTACAGAGTAAACTGTCAATGACATTGGAATCACAGAATTCCAAATCCAGTAGCAGGATAATGGCAGGGACTATTATGAAAACAGCAGTTATCCAGCAGCTTAGGGTAAACATTTTGTACAACTTGTGGTTCATGATGGTCAAGTAAGAAAGGGGTTTGCAGATGGCCGCATATCAGTCTTAGGGTGTGGTGACTACGTAATCTGTTGTCAATTTGAGAGGATTAAGAGTGAAGGGTTGAAGGTCATAATCAGGTCATAGCTGGATTACCTCATTTGGAGGCAATAAGGAGATAAATTGCTCACTGGTGGCGGGACACAGGCTGACTCATGGGGAGATATTCCAGCTGAGAAGACACATGGAGCTATGTTAGTGCCCTAAGCTAGAGGAGCCACGTAGATGCCTGCCAGCGCTGAGATGCTTACACTGCCACTGGATCCACAAGACTTTCCACCCACTGGCCTGTGATCTTCCTGCATTTGGCATCATTGCAGGTGTCTTGTGAGTCTGAAGAGGACTTTATAGATTGGTATCGGGCATATGGCTAATATCAGACTTAGGGGCTTCATAAGACTGGGCTGGGACGTTTTCTCAATATTCAATTGCTCTTGTATATAAAGTTCTCTCTTATACACATATGTGTGTGTCCATAAATTTGTTTCTCTAGTCAACCCATACTAACACATAGGGCATGGTATCCAAGAGGGAAAATTCAAACATGTCCGTGAAAAACAATTGACTTATGCAAGCATCATAAGTAATGGTCCTGTCACACCTGCTGATATGTTGCACTGGAATACCTGGATGGAGTCAGAGGTGATCATTTCTAAGAAGGAGAAATTTTGGAGAAAAAAGGTACATGGCAGTCTTGAGGTGAAAATCCACTAATTTGAGGAAGATGATGGTGAGATTTCAAGTCACACTAAATAAGTGGGTGATAAGCAGAAATCTGCATCTGTGGGTCTCTGCCAGTACCAGGCTTTGGTTAGGGCCTTTGGGTTTCTCATCCTTGGCTCCTGACATCTGCTCAATTTGAGAAACATAGGTTTGAGAAGATGGTGGCAGTAGTTTTTCTGATGAGTCAGGAAGATGAGTTGATCATGAATATACATATATTTTTAATTCATACTCCTAACTCTTTTAGTCTGTCATTCAATTGTTTTGAAATTTGACTTTGGACGTTCTTGATCACTATCAATGGAAAATATACATGTTATACTATATTATGAAATACACATATCTCTAAAATAAAAGTATCACAAAAATTACTAACTCCTAGAATGACCTACCATCTGACTTTTATTTTTATATTTCATTGATAATAAATACAAATATCATTAGATGGATTAATGACCTACTATTTGACATGACTGGTAGTTCTGTAACTCACATTATTTTACTTAATGTAGTCAGAAAAATTGTCCTTACTAAGTGCAGTTGGCCTTAGGTGTTTTACTTAATGTGGTCTCTATGGAATTTTTATAACTCGTTACATTTCTCAAAGACAGATAAGTTTGATGCAGATTCACCTATAAGTGCCAGATAACTCTTGAGAGTCTTCTCTTCTTTGCCTGACAGTTATTTAAAAAGCCACGCCCTGCTATCTAGTTAACTAAAGAGACATCCTGAGACGAGCCTAAGACTTAAAGAACTTCATTGTTCTGTTTTCTTGCTCATGGTCAACAATTGTTTCCTGTGGTTGCCCTGAAATCCAAATTAATGTAATGTACATGACTCCCTAAAATGTAAATTTCAAAGTAAAAAATATATTCACTATGTATTCTGATCTCAAAAATAAATAGAATAAAATTCTATTCCACTTATTAAAAAAAATACCTCAATGATCAGGGGTGGGGGAATCACATGAAGTAGGTCTTTTGCAGCAGATGGTTTCAAAGCAATGCTCTGTCATTTTATCCACTGCTCCTTCCATGAGTATTGATTGTCGATCCAAGTAAAAGGACTTCCTTCACAATTTCCATTTTCCCTCATGTATCATGATGGTTACTGGTCCAGTTGTGAGGATTTTTGTTTTTTTTACATTACAGTGTAATATGCACTGAAGGTTATAGTCTGTTTTTTTTATAATCAGTAGGTGCTTCATTCATAAATGTACCCAATAAATGAGCTATTTTTAGTATTATTATTGATGAATAAAATTTTTTCAACCAGAAAATCTGGCAATCTGGCATCCATTTTAACTTTTCATCTTAGATAAAATGAGTACTGTACTTGAATTGTAATTTTAACAAATACTCCTTTTGTTTTATAACTTCAATATGGTACCATGCTTTCGCATATTTTTGTTCCTTGCTTTAGTCTAATTATATCAGACTAACAACTTTTTTTGTAATTTTGGCTTTATAATTTTCAAGGGCCTTCATAGTGTTGAGAAATAACAGGCTCCAATAGAGAATGCATTTTCTCATGAGAATTTATTCACTTTAACAAACAAGATAGCAATTAGCAATATAATTCAAAAGACCGCAGATAATAACAGAGAGAACTCAAGATGTAAAAAACAAACCAACAAAAACTCATCACTACTTATATAATGTGAAAGTGGGTTTTCTTAAATGTCACATTATTACCCATATCTACCTTATCTACTAATTTCTGAAAAAATATTTATGTAATAAAAGGTTATATAAATCAAACCTAATTGAGAAAGGCTAATAATAAGACCATTTTAGTGTAAAAAAAATATTTCCAAGTATAATTGCAATGAGTATACTTGGTCTTCACTAAAGTCATATGGATACTACCAAGATCAACTTTCAATGTGTAAAAGAGCAATGTGAGGGAAATGGATACCACAAATCTTTATTCAATATCTTCATCTTCCACGTCGGCCTGCTCCAGGCCATGAACTTCTCTTTCAGGTAGTAACCCATACTCATTTAGGAAGGCCTCCACATCTCCAGCAAAGGCTTGCCCAGTAAGCTGGTCAGCAATGCTAACGAAATTGCTTATGAGCTCCCCACCTTTGTACACCAGCAAGGCGGGGAGGACATCTGAGGAGAAGCGGTCACCAGCACCCGTATTAGAGGCTTTTATTTTACAGAACTTAACCATCGGGTACTCAACAGCAAGGCGCATTAAACTACTGTTCAGAGCACTGCAGCCCCTAATGGCATCTTCATAGATGTGGACGATGATGGTGGTAATCTTCTGCTCCTTTTCAATGGTGTTCAGGAATTCCTCCCCAGTTTCCAGCTCATATACAAACCCGTATCGAGGCCCGAAACTCAGTTTCTGGTGCATGTCCTGCATGCACTGCCTGCGGTATTTACGAAGGCAGTTTTCATCCTCCTTGTCTTGGTGGATTAGTTCATATTCTTGAATACTCATCTAAAAGTAGATGGGGAAATAGAGATCATTCAGTCAGAAATGTATATTCCGTAGGTGCAGCAACACTGCTCTTAACCCTGTAACTTTTTAATTTGTTCTTGTCCCCACTCAGGGATCATCTTTCTTCTCATTAGCTTCTCCTTCACCTCATTCAAACTTTTGTTCAAAGATTCCCTGCCTTGCCTACACCACCTCAAGGAGCGCCACACGTTCTATTCTTTATACTGGTTAATTTTTCTTCATCGTAAGGAACACTACTTGACATGGTTATATATTTATTTGTTTTCTTATTAATGTCAGCTTTCCCAACTGAGAAATCCTGCGGGGGCAGGTGTTTTGTCCATCTCCTTCATCACTGTGTCTCCAACATCTGCTATCGTGTTGGGTACATAACGGGCTCACTAAGGGCTTCATAGTTAAGGAATGGTGAGACGCATGCATACGTGTTGCTGAATACTGCTCAGCCACACAATGCTCCCAGCCTCGCGCAGCCCCAATCATTTAACTCTCTGCCACTTTGGAGAAAAGTTTACAGAAAGAAAGGGGGTGAAAACAAAACCAATAATTCCGTCCTCTTTCTGTAAAACTTTCCCCAAAGTGATGGAGAATTGTCCATTGCTGCACGCCAGTCGATTCCGATTCCATCAGGTAGAGCTGCCTTTTGGAAATGGATAGCCAGGCCTTTTCTGCACCATGCATCTGAGTGTTTTCACACTGCTCACCCTTCAGTTCATAGAGAAGCAGAACTCATTTTTGCCGTCCAGGGACCTTAGCTAGAGCTATGTTGTCATTGCTGTGTGCTGTCAGGTCATAGTGACCCTTTGTGACAGCGGAGTCTTTCCTCCACAGCGCCTCCTAGGGAGCAAAAAGCCGGGTCTTATTATCCAGGATAGGAGGTTTCAATGTCTGACCTTTAGTGTAAATTTAGGAAATGGTGTATGGCACAAATAATTAATTGCTCGACTACTAGTCGGGAGGTTGACATTTGGACTGACCCAAAGGTGCTTCAGAAGACAGGTCTGGTGGTCCACTTCCAAAAAGTCAGAGCCTTGGCAATTCAGCGCCGGACAGTTTACTCTGCACACTATGGGTCGGAATCAACTCCACAGCAACGGACAAAAAGAACCTTAGTGTCAGAGTTTTAATCATGTTAATGTTGCACACTTGTATAGTACGATAATTGTGGCAATGCATATTCAATTTTGTCTTTTCTTCACATCCTTTAAAACCAGGGGAAGACGTGTAATCATCATTCCTCTGATGGAACGTTTAACTGCTTGTCCACATCACATGGTGAGTCAGTGAAGGAAGCAAATCTCTAAAACAAGATCTTACCCTTCAAGGTCAGAAGGTGGAAGCACAGCGTATTGCTGATGCATGCTGTGTCTGCTCAGAATCAGTGCACTGGTTGGAGATAAATATTACACCAAAGTGATTGTCCCCCACAAGGAAAATCACTTCAAAAAGCAAAACAAGAAAGAAAAGAAAATCATTTCTTGGCTTATATTATTATTGTATGATTCCAATGGGCTCTTATTTGCATTGAAAATTACTTTTTTAAAAAGGAAAGAAGGAATACTGAAATGTTACCACTTTTCTTAGCTGCTAACCTGCAAGCTGGCAATTCCAAAACCACCTGGAGGAGACAACAGAGAAAGGCCAGGTAATTTGCTTCTGAAAAGTTAGAGCCAAGAAAACCCTGCAGAGAGTCCTACTCTGTAATGCACCAACCAGGTCTCCATGAGTTAGAATCGACTCATTTAATAATCAGAGATAATCCCCAGCAACAGTTTAGAGACTGTCTTTCAATACCATGCATTGACATACACATATTCTTATCATAAGTCACCTCAGAGTGGGTTTTGACTCCACGGTCTCATAGGTGCAGAGTAGAACGGCACCTATGGGATTTCAAGGTTGTGACCCCTTGAAAGTAGACTGCTAGCCCTATGTTCATAGGGGTCTCTCGGTGAGTTGGCATCACCAACATTTTGGTTCATAGTAGTTGAATATAGAACTGGTTGTGTTTCCTAGGGACTGCTACACATTAAGTAACAGGTAAATATGTGATATTTTGTAAAAAAGTGTTGCTTTTAAAAATTCATATATATACATATATATGTATATTAAAGTGGTTTATTCTACTTACCTCCTTCCTCCTTCCGTTTTCCTTCCAAACAATCATGTCCTTCTAAAGAATACTATCAATTTGGTGAGTAGCTTTTCATATGAGCAGATATATGAACACATGTGCTTACATGATGAATTAAGTGCTTTAAATAATGGGATAATATAGTTTGTTTTAAAATATCTGTATCTTGCTTTCTTATATAATTGTACATTGAAAACTGACTCTAAGTCAGTTCATGTAACTGTCACACATTCTTTTAATAGTTACCAGGATAAACATTCACTTCATTTTCAGTTTTTGTCGGTACAAAAAGTGTTGCAACAAATACTTTTGTAATATTTCTGAAGTGCTTTTTGTAGCTATTTATGTGGAAACCACATTGTTAATTATTTATGAGGAAGTTTCAAAAATTTTGTGAAAAGATGGAATTAAAAGATAATGGAAAAGTTTGAATAATTTTTAAATCCTCCTATTTCTCTTCACTTACTGACTACTACATTGTCTGACATTTTGCATTTATGACAATAGTAAAACATGTATGATCTGGATAGTCTGTGCACTAGCGACATCTGTCTGGTAATGTCAGACACTGAAGCGCAAGGTGGCAGTAATGCTTTCTCTGATGGTTAGGGTTGTGTGTCAACTTGGCTGGAGCAGGATTCTCAGTGGTTGGCAGTTAGGTGATGGTGTCATTTGGCGACAAGGTAATGATGTAATCATCTTCCACTTTGTTATCTGATGGGGTCTTCCTTGATTGCCACAAAATGACAATTTTGCACAATGACCTCGTCTTTGGAGTCTAATCATGTCCCTAAGTGAAAAGAAGGTATGTTAATTTTTACCTTACCTTTCTTCCAAATCGTTCTTTTGAGTCTTTTTCATTTCTACTGTGAGGTGAAGACATTCGCCTGAGAATTTCCTTCTTGTTGGGTGGGATTGAATCACTATCTTCACTTTCTAATTTAAACTTTCTCCAATCATGTATTACTCCTTTAGGTCCTGGAATAAAATCTAAAATTAATTATTTCCCTTTTATTTTCAGGAGGACTATTTCCACAATTTCAATTTGTGTAAGTATCACCATGGGAATAGACTTGTCATCTCCTGTATCAGATACAAATATCTTGTTTGGGCTAGAAATTTCTGACAGCCCTGCTCATAAAAATGCTTTCCTACATTAATCTTGTTAAATTGGCTTTGGCAAAGAATCTTTCTGAAACATCAGCACTAATGAAAATCTAAATTATGCACCTTGGATTATTAACAAAATTTTGGAGTAAAAATATTAAAAATTAAAATGGTGGGAGTAAATCTAAATTTTAGAAAAATAGTACCTTTATTAAATAAGAAGCAAACTTTAGCAATTAACTGAAATAGGGACCACACTATTACATAAAGGAAACCGTGCTTATTGAGGGAATAAATTAATTTTTAATCAGGCTCCAGAAAAGGATAATATTAGTAGTTACGCAAATGACCAGTGAGGGGAAAGTCTGACCTCAATGAACAAAATGAACAAGATGACTTCAAGAACTACATTCCCAAACCACCCAGCACTTTCTAAGATTGTAAAATTTCTTTTACAAATGTGGAAATGATGAGTAAATAACCTTTCAGATTAAAAAAAACTGAATTAAATCCACGAAGATCCAACTAGAACCCTGGTATTCAATTGCCCAGACAAATGTTTGAAAGGAGCATCTCAAATTCTTGAAAATACACAGTTTTGTATGGAATACTCCTCATTAAAACTTAACCACATACATATCCTTAATATTGCATTTGTAAGTAGAGAAAAGAGAAGCCTTGGTAGCATAGTGGTTATGAGTTGGGCTGTTACCTGCAAGATCAGCATTTCGAAACCACCAGCCACTTCATAGGAGAAAGATGAGGCTTTCTACTCCCACAGAGTTACAGCCTCAGAAACCCACAGGGGCAGTTCTACCTTGTCCTATAGGGTTGCTATGAGCCAGAATCGCCTTGATGGCAGTGAGTTTTTATAAGTAGATGCATTATCTTCTCCTTATTACAGTCTAATAACCTTATTTTTCAATAATTTATCTATAGAACTTATACTCAGGAAATTTCTGTTTTCTTCTGTAGTCTTCTCCGGGGAAACAGATGAAGCTATTTGTTCCTATAAAGATGTACAGTTTAACAAACTCTGTTTAGTGTTGTGATGAGTTGAAATGGACTTGATGGTGGGGGTTGGTGTGTCTGGGCTTTATGGAGTCTTCCAGATTCATTTTCTGCATATGTAAACATGCTTGTGTATGTATTTATGTATGTAGAAAAATAATTTCATTTTACTTGTCCTACAAATATCCGTATATTATTATATATTTTTCCTCCATCTTTCTTCTTAAAAATTAATCATTTTATTGGGGGGAAGCTTACAAATCTTATAACAATCCATCATTCATTGGTATTAAGTGCACTTTTACATATGTTGCCATCAACATTTCCAAAACAATTCCTTTCTACTTTTGACCCTTTGGTATCAGCTTAGCGGCAGCAGAACATGCCCTAGAGGCTGCAGCACTGAGACAAAGAGACAGAAAGCTGGTCTTCCCAGTCCACAGACGGAGTCAAGTTGAATGCCTTCAGGCAGAAGGCTGGCTTGGAAGTCAGGGTGCCCTATGGGCATTTGATAGCACTAAAGGAGCAGAGCAGAAGTCAAGAGACCACATGACTGAAGGGTCTAGGATTAGCAAGCAGCAGGTCTGCCAGCCTGGCTGAAAAGAGGTGCTATGGACAAAGAACCGAATCTGAGTTCTGATGATGACTTGTAACCTGTTAATTTTCCTACCTACTGTAGCTCCATAATCATGAGTAATTTCTGTGAGTTCTGTGTGGACCATGAATTGTTATTTGAACATACAAGAATGATTGAACCATGGCACATTGCTGTAGCTACTGGAAAATTTTCTCTCATTGAGGGTGCCCTCCTCCCAATACATGCTACTTTATCAAGCATGTATTGGGAAACTGACTATCATGTGAGTTGTGAATATTAATCCTCAATTTACTAAGTTAATTTTGGATTTCCTCTGATTTATGTTTGCTAGGCAGCTGTTTGCCTGTTGGCCATCTTGCCTTCCATTTCCATACTCCCTGCCCACTTGATTCCTTTTTTTTCTTTCCTTCCTTTCTATAACTTTATCAATCTTATCTTGTATGTTATAGGTTTTGTATCATGCTTAGAAAGGTATTGATCACACTGCTATTATATAATGACTCATTGTATAATAAGTTCCCATGTATTTAATGTAGTACTTGTGTGAATTTATTTAAACTGTTGGATAATTGGAAAGACTATGGCTCCTATTCATAAAAGAAAAAAAGGAAATCTTGGTCAAATGATATTCAGTATAGTTAAAAGAAACATGGCTTTTCGTTTTCAGTCATGCTACTTGATTTTTTAGCTTAGTGGAATATAGACAGCCATTAAAACTTTCTTTTTTAAATCGTTTTATTAGGGGCTCATACAACTCTTATCACAATTCAAACATACATCAATTGTGGAAAGCACATTTGTACCTTCATTGCCCTCGTCATTCTCAAAACATTTGCTCTTCACCAAAGCCCCTGGCATCAGGTCCTAACATATTAAGAAATCTAGTTCAAATGAATTAAAGTTGGAAATTTTCTGGAGAGATGTTAACATCTGTTTGATTCAATAATATTTTAGATGTCAAGGAGTCCATGTAGAAAAGAATGTTGGGAAACTGATTGTGGTAGCAATTGTACATTCTACTTGAGGTGATTGAAATATAGATGATATGCAATATGGATTAATCCCAACTAATTTTTAAAAAGTAAAATAATAATAATTTAAAAAATGATTTCCTTAATATTATTTTAGGTCCAAAGTTTTAAAATCAAATACTCAAAGTATTCCTTTGTCTTTTAGTCCACTATAGTTTACAATGGCAAAAAGAGCTCATATTGAGGGAATTGGGAAAGAGGAAAATTAATCAATTATAGTGTAAGTAGAGAGATTTTGTGATTGTTGGGTAGGAAGAAATTCTTAGTAAGTATGCTTCTCAGTCTTTACCTTAGAAATAAAACTATTTTAAGAATTGTTCAATTTGAAATTGATTACACAAAGCAAGTGTGCTTTGAAATAACTATCAAACCACCTAAAGATAATTACAGGAAATATATTTTATATTCAATAATTCTTTTCTTCTTCTAGGTTTGCTTACCTGTATGTGTGGCTTGCCCTTCAAAATCTTCTTCAAAACTTTGGCTTTTAGCTTCTTCCATTTTAGGGACTGAACTTGATACAATCTATCAGACAAACAAAGATATAATTATGACTCATAGAAAATTATAATTACGAATGAAAAATTTAAAAACTATGCTTGGAGCTCATTTTTTTCTCAACAAAATAAACTCATCCTAACTTGCTCTAATATGTTTGAGCAAGATGTAGTTTGAGGCACCAAGAGAAACAAGACATCAGTTTGAAAGAGCTCCTATGAGTGACTTCATCAGTCCAGCCAAGAACTTACAATCAAAGCAAAAGCTACCAAGAGATGGAAGTGGTTCAGTCAAAGCAAAAGGAAACTGGTCCACAGGAAAGGTCATAGCAACAAATGTTGGCACGCTTAAAGAATTTTGCTTGTTTACTTTTTCAGGACAAAGAATTGTAACAAAATGTGTTACCCTTGGGCAGTTACCCACTAGGTCAGTAGTTCAAAACCACTAGGCACTTTGTGGGAGAAAGGTGAGGAATTTCTTCTCCCACTAATAATTTAGTCTCAGAAAACCCACAGGGGAAGATCTGCTCCGTCCTATAGGGTCGCTGAGAATTGGAATCAACTTGATAGCAATTTATTTTGACTTAATATGATCATCATAAGAGAATTTTGAAAAAGTTAGACAAAGCCTAAGTAGAAAAATGCCCTGGAGAACCTCACCAGACAGCCTGTCTCCACAACAACAACACTCCTGCTCATTCCTCTTCTCAATAAAGGGCAATGTTCTAAGAAATTATATGATAAATCATTAGGCATTCATTTATAGTGCTGGTTTGACTTCTGGCTTCTTCTGTTCCTAATTTAAAAATGTCTTTAAAAGGCTCCCATTTTTCTTCAGTTAGTAAAATAAAAAGCTGCATAGACATGGTGAAGGCACCAAGACATTCAGTTCTTTAGGGGTGAAATAAATGCTGGTATCATTGCTTACAAAAGCATCTTAAGATATTGGAACTTGTGTTGAAAAATGAAGTTTATATTTTTCACCTCTTAATTACCATTTCCCACAAATTTTGAAGCCTTTTCATGTGTATATGTGAAGACTTATGTACTGAGATAGAAATGGATGGATAGCTCACGAAAAGATATCTAGATGTAAAGATGTCTAGAACTAAGGATTTTACTTAATGCATAATTTGCCTTTTTTCTTCAAGTCTTTCAATTTAGATTTATGTAACTAGTGAATATTGTTTATTATATGCTTTCATTTTTACTGTTTGCTACAAAAATTCATGCAATTCTATTTCAGTACTTTAATATTTAGTTTTTTTCAATTGTTGTTGCTGGTGCTGCTCATTTGGCTCTTACAACAATCCTGTGTACAACAGAGCAAAACACTATTGGTGCCATCCACACAATTGTTATAGTTTAGTCCATTGTGGTAGTCACTGTGGGTTAGACATTGGGCTGCTGGCTGCAAGGTCACAAGTTCAAATCTATCAGCCACTCCCAGGGAGAAGGTAAGGCTATCTGTCTTATACAGATTTACAATCTCAGAAACCCTTCTATAAGGGCTCTATGAATTGAAATAGGCTCATTGGCAGTGGGTTTAGGTTGATTGATAGTACTTGAATGCTTAAAGAATGAATCCACTAACCAAGCAAACTGATCTAAATTTTTGTATACTCACTAGAAAAAAATGAGAAAATGGAAAATAACAGAAATATCACCATATAACTAAATCATTTAATACAGTTTTTATTGAATTATCTATTTCTCTTCTTTAAATAAGTCCTCATCAGCTTATAGTATATGTAATACGATTCTGTTCACCTCCCTCTACCCCGAAAGCTATCTCAATTAATTCTACATGACTGATGGTTAATTCTAAATGGCCTTCTAAAGTCAGTACAAAAACAAAGTGCGTTTCCTGTTATTGGTTCTTAAACGTCATGCAAATTGAAAATTTATCATTGATCTTTTTTTCTTCTTGTTTTTTGTTTGTTCGTTTTTGTTTTCATTTTGCCCTATAGCTATATAAGATAGCAGGATGAACAATCCCAAGGAGAAAACAACAGGACCAGTGGTTCTGGGGGTACACGGAAGAGAAGTGGACTGGGAGAGGGAGTGGGGAACCAACAAACAGAAAAGGGAACAATAAGAGATCTAAACTTGATGGCGAGGAGGGTGTGTAATGTGTGGTGGGGTTTGATCAAATGCAGTGTATCCAAGAGGAATTACTGAGAGCCAAATAGAGGGTGAGCATGATAGTGGGACAGGAGCAAGGTGAAAGGAAATAGAGGAAAGAAATAGGAGGAGGCAAAAGCTATTATAGAGGTATAGCTATAGACATGAATATATGTAATTATATCAATTTATAATGAAAGGGATAGAGGCCAATGTACCTACATTTATGTTAAGTATTAAGATAGCAGATGGACTTTGGACCTCCACTCAATGACTCCCTTAACACAAGAACACTTTGTTCTGGCATTCTTTGATACACACCTTCCTGACATGATCGCTGAAGACAAAATGGTTACATAAGCAAATGTGGTGAAGAGAGCAGATGATTCCCAGCTATCAAAAGATATAATAATGGGGGTCTTAAAAGCTTGAAGTTAAACAAGTGGCCATCTAGCAAGGAAGCAAATAAGTCCACCTGGAAGAATCACACCAGCCTGTATGATCATGAGGTGTTGATGAGATCAGGTATCAGGTTTCAAAAGATCCAAAACAAGCAACTATAGCGATGCAAATGAGAGGGGTTGCAGTGGAGATGCAAAGCCCATCTGTAGACAATTGGACATCCCCTACAGAAGGGTTATAAGGAGGGGATGATCCAACCAATGTGTAGTATCACACATGAATCACACATCATTTCTCTAATTTCTTAATGCTTCCTCCCCTCCAGTACCACAACCCAGTCCTACCTTACAAATCTGGCTAGACTGAAGAACACACATTAGTACAGATAAGAAATCTCAACACATGGAATTCAGGACAGATAAAACCCCTCAGTAACAGTAGTGGGAGTAGCGATATCATGAGGGTAGGGGCACAGTCACGGAGGGGAAAGGGAGAGAAAGGGGGAACCCATCACAAGGTTGGATGTATAGTCCCCTAAGGGGACAAATAACAGAAAATGAAAGTAGAAAACAAACAGTGTAAGATATGAGATAATAAGATATAATTGATCAAGGATTCATGATGGTAGGAGGGAGAGGGAGAGAGGGGGAAAAAAGAGGAGCTTACACCTAGGACTGAAGTAGAAATGTTTTGGAAATGATGATGGCAACATATGTGCAAATGTGCTTGATACAATTGTTGTATGGAGGTGTAAGAGCCCCCAATAAAATGATTTTAAAAAAAGAGTTAGTCTCTGTAACCCACAGGGGGATTTCTACCCTGTCCTATAGCGTCACTCTGGATCAGCATTGCCTGGATGGCTGGGAGTCTGAGTGGGAAATCCTTATTGAAGATTTAGGATGCCTTGGCCTTCTCTCTCAGAGCAGCGGGTACATTCGAGCTGCTTAGAGAACTTACTTTGTGGTTAGCAGCCTCACTGGAACCCACGACCCACTGGAACGACCTTCTATGGGGCTTCGAAGGCTGTGAATCTTTCAGGAAGTAGATATTCTCATCTTTCTCCCATGGAGTTTGAACCTTGTGGTTAACAGCCCCAAACTTAACCCCACAGAATGTGTCTTAGGTTTTCCAAGGTGACTGAGCTAATCTGATCAACTAAGTCAGGCTAATGTGCTCAACAGTATTAATATATTTATTCATAAGAGATATTTTAACATAGCTGTGTTCTATAAATGTCTCCCTCAAAGTAAGACTGAACTCCTGACAAAAATATGCTCCCCTTTTCACTCTCTGATTAAAATAAGTGATCAGAGGTGGGATTCATACATCAGTTGGGTGTAACAGTACCATGTCAGATCATGAGGCTTAATATTGGGCTTTAGAGGCTCCATTGTGTCTCAGATTGTAAAAGGTATATCTAAGAATTTAATCTATACCATACTTTTCCTTTTCCTAGCTCACTAATTTATTTATACACTTGGAGAAGAAGCAATTGCTAGCTCAGAGTGATATGAACTTAGGTTGAATATCAACATTGTTGCTTTTATTAGTTGTCATGTATTGTAATGCTTACAAGGAGAGTATTGTATAGTGAATGGGAAGCAGACCCTTGCATTCAAACCCAGCCCTGCCAGTTATTTACTGTGTGACCTTGGGAAAGTCTCTGTGATTTAGTTACCTCATCTGTAAAACTAAAATAATATTGTTGCCAGGAAGATTATATGAACGGTGTCATACAAAATATGTACTATTTAGTCTTAGGTACTTAATAGGTATTGAGTAAAGACTTGATGATTAAAACTCTAAAATTCTTAAAACCAAGCATTTAAAATGAATAATTTCTCTCTAAGTCATTTTCAAAGTCTCCTATCTTGTATACTTTAGATATGCCATTTGGAGGGACCAGTTCCTGAGAAAGACATCAGGTTTGCTAAGTAGAAGGTGAGCAAGTAAGAAACCGCTGGATACCTTGCACAAGACGGATTCCCACAGCGACTGCAATACTGAGCTCAAACATTGCAGTACTGGATAGTGTTTCGCCCTGATATGTGAGGGCCACTATGTATTACTCAGAAGCATGTAATAACAGCAATCATCTCATTACTGTGTAATTTTATTTATTTTTAGTAAGATCAATGTACCACAAGACAGTGAAAAATGTACAAAATGAAGAGCATATTAACTCAGAGGTGGGAAACCCAGGCCAATCAAATGTGCCCAAAATGCCTTGGAAACCAAAGTAATAAAATTTTCTGGAAATGTGTGCACAGGTGGGGAATGGCAGGTGAGCATTTATTTTGAGTGGAATAGAGTGGCTTTCCGATGAATTGACCTTCCTACCTACAATTTTCCCTTTTCTGTTTAGTTAATATGGATTCATATACCTTTTCTGAATTTTGGTTTTCAATGGTGTTTGCAGAAATGCTAACAGCACCCAGAATTTTCTGTTGTTAGGGTTAGTTATTTGGGCTGTTAACTTTGAATTAAGTCAACTGT